AATGAAAATGGTTTGCTATATTCTGACATCAAGTGTGGTTGGCTGAATCCCAGACAGAGTAAACTGAACTTGTCATTTTTATTGTCCATAATATTTGAATAAATGAATGGAAAATGATGTATTAAATGCTTACTATGTACCAAGAACTGTGCTGAGCATTAGAGATGAAAAGACAGTCCCCTTTCTTAAGGAACTTATGTTGTAATGGGGAAGAGGTGACTTTGAATGAGAAAGTGATAGGGATAGTTAGTGGCACCACACTGGAGTAGATTGAAACATTCTATCCAGGAAACATGACAGAATTGGTTATAGTTTCTACTTTCAGAACTGGAGTGGGAAGGAGAGGCGTAGGGTACTCAAAGTAGTTAAAGAGGATATGAGATGGTGTGGGAATGGGAAATGAAGCAGAGGATAGTTGGGGCTTTTCTGAAATAGCAGCCCAGGAAATGCAAGGGTTTCACTTAAAGGTGTGGTTTCTCTGGGCAGTTGATCCTCCTGTGAGGAGATAGCCAGAGAATAGGGAGTAAAAGGAGACTTCCCTACACAGTTGCAGTTGGTGAATAATTAGAGTAAAAATTCATTTCTTACCTATTAATAGAAGAAATGCTTGAAATGTAGTTGAGATTTTTTGGATAACCATGTATCAAACTCATTGCTGAATGGTTATCCTATAGACAAAATAATGCAAAGTGAGGGTAGTCAAATTAGAATACCATCACATATTATGACAGTTACTATATGTTAATGAACACAACAGCAACAAAATAAGTACACAGAAAAGAAATCAGAAAGGGACACAGGACAGGTAATCATTTTGTTCCTTTATATTGATTCAATTGATTAGAGAATTCATTGTGAACACTTTAGCTCCTATTGCCCCTAGTCATGCTGTGTGATTTTTGTATTTCTGTATGTCCGCCATAGAGGTTCCATCCAATTTAGTGCAACAGACAGTAAATTTATAATATTATTTGAAATCAAATCAGGTTGTAAATGGTTTAGATGTTATGACTTTATTTGGAATTCATTCCCATAACTGCTTGTTTGTATTTGTTGATAATGTTTTTAAATATATGGATTAAAATTTTTTTAAAGAATAATACTATGCATAATCCTTTGTACTACTTCGCAATAATATGAGGAAGATTAAATGAAATACTTTGAACTTTTCAGAAACTCCTATAGAAATGTCAGCATAAACAGAATCAGTTTTGTATCATTAGTACATCAAGCAAGCATTTAAGGGTCCTGAGAAAGCCCTTGCTAAAAAGGATATACTATACACATATGGGATTTTCCTTGGCACCATTGTTCCCCATTTCCTTGAAACCTTAAGTTCTGTTGTATTTTCCTTGCTCTGACCCTATGGAGAATCCTACTACTTCCATCTTTTTGGTAGATGTGAGAATTTTCAGAGCAGGAGGAACTGTACATAAAAGTGGGTCAGATGGAAATTATTGAATTATTCACAGTGAATAATTGTTGATTTATTCACTGATCGTTAAGGAATGCAACTCCTAGTGTAACTACCTGGGATGTGGGGAAAGAAGGAACCTCCCTTTAATGGTTCCACTGTTTCCACTGCTTAGCATAGTGCCTGGCACATATTAGGTGCTTAATAAATGCTTGTTGACCTGAAGGATAAAACATAAACTCTTTAGCCTTCCATTCAAGTTCCTCCACAATCTGACTCAGATTTACTTCTAACTTTATCACATGCTGTTCGTCTTCATTCATTCTAAAGTCCAGCTGAACTAGGTGATGCACTCATCTTGCCCTCTGTCTTAATTTTTGCTTGTTGAAATCCTTTTCCTTCAAGGAACACCTCATGTGCTACCTCTTCCAAGATGCTTTCCCTGATGCCCCCAGCTGTTAGTGATCTCTCTTCTTAAATTTTAATCCAAGCACTTTGGATCTCAGCTTTACCTTCATCACATTTTGTTTTGCATCATTTATCATCATTTCTCATTTTTGTATCATTAGAACTTAGCAAAAGGACCTTACACATATTCTTTAATATTGTTGAATTGAATATAATCTCTTTTCTCCTCTCCTCCCCCATCTTATAGGAAAAAGTAAAAGTACTGAGAACTGAGGCCCAAAGAAGGGAAATGTGCTCAGGATTTCACAAGTAGTAAGTGGCCAGATGAGAAGGCACCAAGAGGGAGAAGGGAATAACTTTAATGGTTGCCCAGAAAACCTCCTGATATTTTTTGGAGGGGGATGGGGGTGGGAGGTATTCCACTTATGTATTTCAGATGGTGTTCACACTGCTTTTCTTAACTTCCCTTGCTGCTTTGATCTGATTAGTACAGGACATTTCTTCAGCTATGCAGGGAAATAAAACTTCACAAATACCAACCAGTTCATACAGTAGCTTTCACACTTGTTTTGATAAAATGTAATGCCTCTCTTACTTAGTTCTCAGTGTGAGGATAACTTACTTACCTATGGAACCTTTGTTCAGGCAGGCTCTTCCCAGGCCTGGAATGCACCACTCCTTACTGTGTCTCTTATAATTCCTGCTTTCCTTCAAAGCTCAACTCAGGCACTCCCTTTTTTTTTCTTTTTTAGTTTTCAATATTCACTTTTATAAGATTTTGATTTCTGTATTTTTTTCCCTCCCTCCCCACCCCTCTGCCCAAGACAACAGGCAGTCTGATATAGGTTATACTTGTACAATCATATTAAATATATTTCCACATTAGTCAAATTGTGAAAGAAGAATCAGAACAAAAGGGAAAAACCCTGAGAAAGAAAAAACAAAAAAAGTGAAAATAGTATACTTTGATCTTTATTCAAACTCCATAGTTCTTTCTCTGTATGTGGATAACATTTTTCATCATGAGTCTTTTGGAATTGTCTTGGGTCATTGTACTGCTGAGAAGAGCTAAATCTATCATGGATGATCATAGTGTTCAGGCACTCTCTTCTGCAGGACGTTTTTCCTCATTCCCTTAGTTGTTAGTGCTTTCCTTATTAAAATGACCTTGTGCCAATATCATGTATATTTTGTGCTTGCTTGTCTGTGTGTTGTACATATACATATATGTATATGCTTATCTGTGTACATGTTGTAAATATAGATATTCTGTGAGCCACAAAATTCCAATCTGTAACAAAAATCACTGAGACAGAGTTAATTTATTAGGAATGCCAGTGGTCCCTAATCAATTTGGTCCAAGACCTTCCTCACAGTCATCCCTCTGCTTGAGAAAGATTGCTTTTAGAGCCTTTGAGGCAGTATAAAAAATAGAATGAGGTGGTACAATCCCCTGATTAGTCAGTTCCAGAAGTGGAGAAGTCTTATGATTGGTTAAGGACATTTTCTTATGATTGACTAAGGAAAATGTCCATCAATCATAACCACTTCCTCAACAGGCCTTTCACAGGTCATTAACTATAGGCTGTCAATTATAGGCCATCTCTTCAGGGACTTTCCAAAGGTCATAAGATCCTATTGGGCTTTCCACAAGTCATAAGACCCTAGCTTAGTGTTTGACTAAGAGTATCCTAGGGTCCGAGGAAGTTGTGGTTTTGAAGTAAAGTTCATTAGGAAGTGATGGAAGTGATTCATAGGGGTAAAGGGGTATTGCTGAGGCTTACGTACTTTATTTCAAGCCAATATACTTAGGAATGTGTGAGGGGGGGACATTGCTAATGCAAAAAGTTATTTGTTTTTGGTTTGTTTTTGTTTTTTGTTTTGTTTTGTTTTGTTTTGTTTTGTTGGCTAGGCAATGGGGTTAAGTGACTTGCCCAGGGTCACACAATTAGTAAGTGTCTAGAGGCTGGATTTGAATTCAGGTCCTCCTGACTCCAGGGCCGGTGCTCTATCCACTGCCCCACTTAGCTGCTTCTAATACAAAAACTTCTTAACCCAAGTCAATATATGTTCCTACAACAGGCCTAATAACAGCATGAATCTATCTGATAAACCCAACTCAATAAAATCATCAATAATAATAGATTAATTCTTTGTTGTCTACATAACTCTTATTTTTACAACATTAACAACTCTGTTCTACTTACAAATCACTGATACCCATTAAATCACAATGATGTGAGTAAATACTGATTAAATTGAGTAGGGGTATCAAAATCACCTTCACAGTGCTTATCTATGTGCATGCTGTACATGTATACACACTTGTATTTGCTTTTCTATATACATGTTGTCTCAGATAAAACCTCAGCTTGATGGCAGGTGGTCTTTCATCTTTGTCTTTGTATTTCATCCAGCACACCTATCTGTACCTGGCATGGAGCTGGCACTTACTGCTGGTATTTGGGTTTTGTACAGAATTTTGAAGTTTGTGAATGCTTTATATAAACACCTTGTTTAAGCCTAGCAACCCTGTGAGATAGGCTTTCCATCTATTATTCCCATTTTACAAGTGAGGAAACTGAATCTCAGAAAGGTTAAATGACTTGTACATTGCTGGCAAGAGTAGAGGTGATCTTCAGCACTCTGTTCCCTCTACCACAATCAGTTTATCTAATGTAGGACTTCCTGTATCTCCAGCCATTATAGACTTAGAAGGTGGTGATAGAATATGGATATTGTAGTCTGGTCTCCAGATCAGGGAGGAATGATCTTCATCAGTTTTTGTTGCTCTTGTCTTTCATCTTGAGTTTGACATAGTATGTTTGAATTACTTGTACATTGTTGACTCCTTTTATGACTTAAAAGTTTTGTTTCTATTTAAAAATTATGTTTTATGAAGACTGTGTGGGTACCTACTTAGATGGTGATGATTGTCTGTGGCAGTTTTACAGAAAGACATGGATGTTTGTCACGTTCATAATAAAAAAAAATTGTTTTAATGAAGAAAATGCACAGGAATCACTTAGTATGAGAAAACATGGAGGGCTGGTTCATTTTACATGAGTGGATGAAGTCATAGGTTCATCAGAGTATCCAGAAACCAGTTGAAACATATCCCTTCTGAGAAGAGCTGTACATCTGATGATTTTTTGTTTTTTTTTCTTTTTCTTTTCAGATCCTGAAAGTCAAACTTTAAAGGAACATTTAATTGATGAACTAGACTATGTATTGGTTCCTACTGAAGCCTGGAATAAATTAGTGAATTGGTATGGCTGTGTAGAAGGACAGCAGCCTATAGTCAGAAAAGTGAGTACTTTGTCCTGTTAGTCTTGTACAGCCTCATTGTACGTTGTGCTATTTCTGTTCTTCACAGAGTTTGCTTGGAGGACAAAACTGCCTGTTTGTGGATTCAGGTTGAGCTAGACAGACCTAATTGGGCTGAGTGAAAGTGCTTTTGGCCTTTGACTCCTCACTTCCCATCAAACACACATCTGCAAATGATTCCAAATTCAGCTTTTTTGGGGGAGGGAGTTGTAGAAGTGGGCAGGAGCAAAAGTAACATTATTGTTGTTGTCACTGTGACTGGCATCAGAACAGAATGACTGCTGTTTAGTTTATGGTAAGTATAGCATTCATCTAAGCATAGTTGTAGCCTGGATGTAGGAGAGCTATAAGTGTGAAAGGTCCATTTGAAGTAAATATTTCAATACTTCCTCATTTCCCTTTAAAAATCAGATACTTGTATTTTTCATTGACTAGACTTTGGGCAACACCCATGAACAATTCTAAAGCCGAGATTTTATAGCCAGGCAAAATTTGAGCCTCTGGGGGATGAACAGATTCTTTTGGTTGGGTAGGCACATATATCAGTAATCCTGATCCTTAGGAAGGCGTGGCTCCTAAATATGTGGACTCTAGTGCCATCACTTCCACCAAAGGTAAGTCTCTCACAGAGATCCATACATTTTGAGGGCTTCTGTATTTTTCACTTTTGCTTTATTCCAACATAGGAGAATTTCCATCACTTCAGTGCCACATGATGTTTTTTTATTGTGCAAGTCTCTTGGCTCTGCATACTTTGTATATTCCCTTCCAAACAAGATAGGAAAAGAGAGTAGCGGTTAGATTAGGCTGCTCAGAATCACCACTTGGGTGAGGAAAAGCTTTTTCAGCAGCTAGAAATCTGGGATCTTGAGTAGGTTCTAGAGAGAAGTTGAGAAGTTGAGTAAGGAGAAAGAAAAACAGTAGGTAGTAGTTGGACTTAATTTTGTATACCCTGTAAGTTAATAGCTTTGACAGTAGGCATTATCTTGAACATTTTGTAAATATGTTCAGACTTATGAGCACTGAGTATACCCCTTATCTGGTATCTGACTCAAGAGCTATCTTTATAGGCATATTTGATGATCCTTTGTTTTTTGTAATCATTTCATTTGTAACAGAGACAAATTCACTTTTGAACCTTTGTTATGTGGTAGATTTCTCTTTATTAGTAATATGTACGTAAAGTTTACATGTTTTAAAGTAGACTGTGGGTAAAATACAGGGCACCTCGCTTTGGCTGACAGTAAGGAAGAGTCCTTCTATCCAGAAATTAACCGGACCTTCCAATGTAGCCAGTGGGCCACTGTCATATCTACTTTTTCTTTTTAGGAGATTGTGCTGTGACTGCTGCCTCTTTTCTATTTCCTGGTAGAGGCTAAGTTGTGGGGAAGACTTTCTGTTGGTGTTTTGGGCAGTGTCTTTTATTTTAGTCTGTAGATCTGGTTGCTTAGCCACTCAGGGAAGGCAGTTCTTTTTTTTTTTTTTTTAATGTTAAACTGTTGACTTGCTCTTCAGTTTCTGAGCATATAGCTTCTCTTTGATATGGCATCCCCTTCTCTCCTTCACCTTGATGCCTCTTGTCGTAGGTTGTGGAACATGGCCTGTTTGTCAAACACTGCAAAGTAGAGGTTTATTTGCTGGAACTGAAGCTCTGTGAAAACAGCGACCCCACCAATATGCTGAGTTGCCATTTCAGCAAAGCCGATACCATAGGTGAGCATCAATTAAGCTGGGCTTGGTATGTGGTATGGTTTGGTTCAGACCCAGTATCATTGGGAATGAGTGGGAATGAAGTGTCTCCCCCTAGACAATCTTTTCTTTATTTCCAAATCTGAGAAGAGCACTGTGTACTTGATTATGTTTTGGTGGCTTTCCCATCCATGGACTAGGGCTGCAGAACTAGTCTGCTAGTTTCTGTGGCTAGCATGTCATGTGGCTCCTGTTTCCTATTGAGGATGGACATTAGTGTTGGAGCTGAAAAGCACCCTTATCTTGTCCTTGGTGTGTACTGAGCACTAGCCTCCTCTATCACCAGGGCCTTAGAAATAGTGTCAGTTCATTTAGGTTCATGCTAGTGACAGGGACCAGCCCTGGGATTAAAATTTAGGGAAAGGAGTTGAATTGACTGTATTATGGTGTATACAGTATTGAGTAATGTAAAATGGGTTAGGGATATAATGTAGCAAAATATGCTGCTTGCTTTCTTTTTCATGCTGCAGCCTGCTATCCTTCATAAGCTTTTTGGTTATGTTTGTTTTTTAATAGCCTATTCTTTTCTGAATGTGCCTACCCTCTTCCTCCCCTCCAGCCCCCATCTTCCCTTCTATCAAAGATTAAAAAAGAAAAAAGTTCAGGAAACCAGCCAACAGTCAACACATGTACTCCTCTTTACAGCACATGCATCAATTCACATTGGGTTGTCTTTAACACTGTCTGTTTTGGTGATGCCCTTTAGTCATCTTCTGAAGTTTAAATTTTGCCTAAGAACAACTCCCTTGGGGTAAGGCTGCAGCTTCCAACAGGTTTGAAAGATCTTAATGTAAAGTCAGCCTAGTTGAAGCAGTTGGCAATTGTAGTCAGATTTGTATTGCCAACCAACTGTTGCTTTTTGTACCGAGAGCCAAGAAGGCTGTGTTAGAGGACTCTCATGGGTGGTGGGTTTTTTCAGGACTCATCAGTGGTCCTGGGGTTAGGCAGGAGGGATTTCAGCTGTAGAATACTATGAGAAAACCTGAAAATGTTTCTAAATGATTCATCTTTATTTCAGTGTCATTGTGGGACTTTAATTCAGGCTTGTTCAGTTCCTCAGACCTAGTTCTTGCTATTGCATTAGAGACTTGACTGTAGAAAAACAGCTGAACTGTGTGTTTGTCTTTAATTAGCAACAATTGAGAAGGAGATGCGGAAACTATTTAACATTCCTGATGAGAGGGAAACAAGGTTATGGAACAAGTATATGAGTAACACATATGAGCAGCTCAGCAAGCCAGACAACACCGTGCAAGATGCTGGTTTATACCAGGGGCAGGTACGTGGTTCTGAACACTCGCTCTTAACTTCCACCTCAGAATCTCAAGCTTTCTTGATGACTCAGCTTAAATGCCCCTGTCTGCAGGAGGCCGTTCTATGTCCTGCAGCTTCTAGAACCTTCCTCTCCAAAGTTACATTTTATCTACTCTTGTTATGTATCTTTTAGGTACCTAATTATTTACATGTTGTCTCCCCCACTATGATGTAAGCTTCTTGAGGATGGGCTGCTTTCATCCCCCCCCTTTTTTTTTTTAAATGATAGTCTGAATGTTTATTCAACAGCTCCTCCACTGACTTTTAGTATTTTAGACAGACAGCTTGCAGTAATAGACTGGCAGGATGAAAATCACCCTTCTTGGCTTTCTCCAAACTGGTGACAGTATTGTCACCATCTTTACTGCCTGGCTTTGCAACCTAATGATGTCCTCCTCAAATATTCTAATGTGCTTCCTATAACAACTACAATTCTACATGTTTCAAAAATCTTTTAATTGACTCAAGAGCCAGCCCTGCCTTTAATCAAAATAGGAGACTGATTATGAGCAGAAGTGAGATGGAGAGCATTGTATCAAAACTTTAGAGCCGGAAAGATTAAGGGTCATATAGTCCAACCTTTTCATTTTACCAATGAGGAAACTAAGGCTAAGAGGTTAAATGTTACATAAGCAAAAAGTCAAAACCTCTAGTTCTTAGCACTGTACCTTGTACATAAGCATTTAGTAAATGCTTGTTTTATTGATTGCACATTACTCTTTCTGGTATGCGTAAATAAATATATTGTGGAATGTCAGGAGCTTGTATTTTTTGCAGAAGTTCACTAGATTGTGGCAGCCTTGAATTTCTTTGCATAGAACAGAAATGTGTAATGGTAGTATGACAATAAGGATTACTTCCATTGCCTTAATGTATTATTCTCTTTCATTCAGGTCCTAGTCATTGAGCCCCAAAATGAAGATGGCACATGGCCGAGACAGACCCTTCAGTCCAAGTAAGTGAGCTTTCTTCCAGTTTTAGGCCAGCGTTCAGATGTCTGAGTGAGAAACTCCTTTCTAAAGCATTTATCTATGCTAGAGAATTTTTCTCTGACTTGGTGGAAAACTTTCCTGAAATTCTGAAGTATATATTGACTTTCTCAAGACTTATTCTTTGGTATGAGGCATAACAGGCAACCTCTTTTTTTTCATCCAGGATTAGTTTGTCAGAAGAGCACAGTATCAGGGAAAGTATTGCACTAAACTCTGGTGAGGCTCCTGTTGTTTTAATGATGTGTTATTACTCCCCCTCTTTCTCTGGCTGGGAGCCCAGATGAACAGCTCAGTGGGCACAAGGTTTTGGCTGAATTAAAGGTAATAGTAGTTTAACTCTGTCTCATTGTCATCAAAGTGTCATCTTTGATTAGGGAGTTGCTAATAGTTGTCCCTGGAACTTGCCAAGAAAATTTTTTGGCTATAGGTGTATTTATATATAGTGTGGAATACATCCTTGGGAAGGAAAGAGTTGATTTTTCTTTCGAAGCTGAGAGAAAAGGGATATGTAAAGAGGATCGCTGTAAGGCAGCTGTTGTACCTTTCTTTGCCAACATCATCCAGGCTTTTGACAAAAACTTTTATTGGGTTAGAGGTTTTCCTCCTCTTTGGCCCAGATAAAAGGAAGAAGGTAATGATAGACAGAAGAAATGAGGAGCTGTGGGTCTCTTATCCTCATGGAATCTACAGGACTTGCCAATATAGTCCCAAAGGAGCTTTTGATGTCTTTTTTTTTTTTTAAATGAGACAATTGGGGTTAAATGACTTGCTCAAGGTTATACAGCTAGTATGTGTCAAGTGTTGGGTCTGAGGGCGAATTTGAACTCAGGTCCTCCTGACTTCAGGGCCGTTGCTCTATCCACTGCACCACCTAGCTGCCCCTTTTGATGTCTTTTGAGACACAACTTTACACATTAGCTGAGGCTGCTGTCATCTCTTCAGAAATGTTACTTACCTGTAGGGTGTCTGAGTGAGGCCCAACATTCCTTCTCTATAATGCTTTACAATTGAGGTGGAGGATCTCTTACGTGGGGAAAGACTTCTTCATAGTAGCTTATTAGGAAAGCAACAGTAACATTCTGGGAAGAAAACAGCCTGGTCTTATGTTGAGACCTGTTACAATTTCATGTAGTTTTGTCAGCTGTATTCTGGATCAGGGGTGGGGAACCTGCGGCCTGCAGGCCACGTGCGGCCCTCCAGGTCCTCAAGTGCGGCCCTCTGGCTGAATCCAAACTTCACAGAACAAATCCCCTTAAGGGGGGGATTTGTTAAGGATCCACCCTTGAACTGGATATTCAGTAATGCTGTTTCATTCTACTGAACTTCACAATGTAGCCTTATAGATATGGTTCACCTAGGGTGAGCAGTAGCCTTGGTTAAGCATAGTGCAAGGCTGATTTTATTAGTATGGTTAACACTATCTCCTAGTGGTGGGGGAGTAGGAAAATTTCAGTGAGTGTGATATTATTTAATTCTCACATGTACAAGTGCCTTGCAGATCCCTGACCACTGTGTCAGTTGGGAACCACTTTTTAGGTCAAGTGTCTATTTTTTTCCTTGAATTTTAATGATGATTTTGGTTAGTATTATACCTTTTGTGATGAAGTCTCCCTAATTTTCCCCAGTTATAATAATTTCTCTCAGTCAACAAACATTTATTAAGTGCCTACTATGTGCTAGGCACTGGACAATCAGAAAATACAAAATAGTACCTACTCTCAAGGAATTTACATTTACCTAAGGAAAGTAGTACTTATGTAAACATGTACAGAATAAATTTAAGAAAACAAAGTTGAGTAAGTTAGAGAGGAAGGGCATTAACAGTTGACAGGATCAGGAAAGGCTTAATGTACAAAGTTGTGCCTGAGCTGAAACTTGTGAAGTGACTTCATTTGGAGAACACCTTGGGGGGAAGCAGCCAGTGCAGAGATATGGACATGAGAGTGGAGTTCTGTTTGTGAGGAACAGACTGGCTGAATCAGAGAGGGCAAGATGGGAGTGATATACTGTGAGACCACAAAGGCAGGTTGGAACGTGGATATGAACAAGAGCCTGGAACTGATCCTTAGAGGTAATGGGAGCCTAAGCACTTTATTGAGAAGGAGAGTGATATGGTCAGGTCTGTGCTTAAGGAAAATCACTTTGGGGGCAGCTAGGTGGCGCAGCGGATAGAGCACTGGCCTTGGATTCAGGAGGACCTGAGTTCAGATCCGGCCTCAGACACATAACACTTCCTAGCTGTGTGACCCTGGGCAAGTTGCTTAACCCCATTGCCTAGCCAAAAAAAAAAAAGAGGGGGGGGAGAAAGGAAAATCACTTTGGGGCAGCAGTGTATAGAATGTACCAGAGTTAGGGAGAGGCTGGAGCTAGGGAGGTCATTTAGGAGGTCTTTGCAGGCAGTAATCTAGGTGATGCAGGCCTGAGGGTTGTATGATTAAAGAGAAGGGGTTAGCGTGACAGATGTTTGAGGGAAAGAAATAGCAAGCTTAGGCAACTGATTGGATATGTGGAATGAGGGAGAGGGAGGAGAGGGAGAGGGAGGAAAGGAAGGTGATTCTTAGCTGGTCAACCTGAGAGAGAAGAATAGTGATGCCTTTGACAGAAATAAGCAAGTTTGGAAGAGGGTTGAGTTTGTAGGGGGGAGATCCATTTTCTTTTTGACTCTGTCAGGGGTTGTCAGAAAAACCTTTTCATAATCATTCTCCTCTTGTGTGTTTCTTTTTTTTATTCATTGGTCTGGCATATAAATTTCATTTTTAAAAAGGTTTGTGCTTAATGCTGTGAGCTCTAGGTGGAACTAGTGTACCTTTCCCCTTTCAAGGAAGAAAGCTCTTCCCAAAGTAGTTGTTATGGAAATTGGAAGGATAACTGTTATTTTCTTTACATAGTATTAGAAAAATTTGGAAGGCCCTGTACAGTATTTTTCTTCAACTTAAAAAATATAGATATAATGCTTTTGAGTATTTATGATACATCTTCCACAGTGGGATTAGTTTTAGAATTTTAAGCAAGTTTCTTGGACAGAAGACTGAGCTGAATTTGACATGCATCTATTTAAAGAGTTTATTCAGGTTTATAGCTCCTTTGTACTAAATATATATTTTGACTTATTCAGGGCAGAAGAAGAAAAGAGTGTAGGTTTTGGTCCCAATATCTTAAATAGTACATCCAGTGTGGCACATGAATGAGTGTGCTTTGTCTGGACTTTCCAGAGGAATTTTGGCTGCAATCATGTTCTTATAACTTGGCCTACCCAAGCACCTATGGAGAACTGTACCTTTGTCAAATAATACCTTAACCTTGTCTTCACAGGAATTTTAAAAATACTAAATATACAAGGACAGTGAGGCTTAATCAAGCTCTCCTTACACATCTCTGACACGTACAGTAGCTTTAAGATTTCAGAGTACTGGCAAGATCAGGCATGATTAGAGTTTAAACATATACCCTTCATACAGTGTTGTGTAGATGTTTTCTGTGGTAGATCCTAAGTAACAGACTTGGAGGAGCTAGAGAAGACCTTCTTGGTTCAGCATCTCCCCACTTTGCAATGCTCAAAAAAGAATTATTTCCATACTGGGAGATTTTGTTCTAGGATTTAGCTACCTTTTTTTTTTTTGCAAATACATTTACACTGAGAACTCTGGTGACAGCTCTTTTATCTGTAATTTTCTGAACAAGTATATCCTTTGAATTGAATTTTTATTACATTATTTGTCAGCAAGAAACAATTTAATAGAATCATAGTATTTAAGTTTGAAAGTACCCTAGAGGTCATTTAATTCAAGTCTTTTATTTTGTAGAAATTGAATCTTCAAAAGGGGAAAAGTGAATCAATTGCCCAGGGTTACACTGATAGTAAAGTGACTGGACTGGGACAAAAATAGTTTTTTTCTACTTCGTTTTCAGTGCTTTTCTGCTGTGCCATAGCTATCTCTTTGGTAAAGAGACTGGCCATACTTGGAGACCGAACATGTGTGTCCAGTAACTTGATTGGTCGTATGATTTATTGCACTTGTAATTATATTCATCTTTAACTTCTCCCAGTTTATTCCTTAGCTATACAAGTACTGCATGAGATAGATCAGGGATGGGGAAACCTGAGGCCTTGAGGCCACATGTGGCCTTCGAGGTTCTCAAGTGTGGCCCTTTGACTGAATCCAACGATTTGTTCTGTAAAACTTGGACTCAAAAGGCTGTACCAAGGACTTAGAAGGCCACATGTGGCCATGAGGTGTAAGGCTCCCTGCCCCTGGGATAAGTAGTGAGTACAATGAAAGGTAATTTGGAGTTTGTATTTCAATGTCTTCTCTTTCTCCCTCTGGCTTTAGCCTTTGTATCACTGATTCTGTCATATTATTAGAATGTGGTAGTGATGGTAGTGGTGGTGATGGGTAGAACTTAGTGGTGCATATTAAGTTAAGTGCTGGTAGGTATTCTGAACTTAATGCCTTAGGCTGCCAGATCCCCATTTGATGTGTTTCCCTACTTGGTGCTTAAGCTAATTTACAGTGTAAGAGACTGGGCATATATATGTAAGAATGAACTGCATTTTTTTGCCCATGGAGATTTATCTTTTAGTAGGTACAGCACTGGGCTAGGTGGGTTACCTGTCACTTAGAAAATTACTGGTGGAGTCAGGGTTAGAATGCCAGCCTTTCATTTCCTAAATAGCCTGTTAGATGATGTTCTCCAAGGTATTCTCATTTTATTAATGTAGACACTGATTGCCTTCTTATCTCTGCTTCTGTTTTTTCAAAAGGAACACTAGTTCAGATCAGATACCATTATATTGGGTGCTTTGTGTTGACTGTTTTTGCTATTTAGTCACTTCCTTTGTCTAACCTATGAGAACTTGATATTCTGAACTCACAGTTGTATATTTCTAAAAGAAGACTTCAGTCACTATCTATTAAATGCCTTATATAATTTTTAATTAAGATAGAGAACATCCTGGTGTTTTGTTGGATTTAACCATCCTGGAAGTAAGTATCAATCCAAATTATGCGTTAATGAAAAATATCAGAGCTTTAGAATCACATACATAAAGTTGAAACAGTTCCTATCCTCACTCATTTTAGATATGTTTATTTTTGGTTCCTCATTTCACTTAGAGAGTATGCTAAAACTGTAGAGGCATTTTCATACAGTTCCGTTTAACAGCCATCCTTATTCACCTACCATTTGCCAGGCCAGGTAGTGCTGGGTGCCGGGAATGCAAAGACAGAAAACAAAACATGTCCTGCCATTGAGAAGCTTCTATTCTGCTGGAGAGGATTTTCACAATCTAGTTACCTTATCTATTCAAGCTTTTAGGGAAAATACTTCACTATAAAATTTTGCTGTTGTTGCTCATTCTCTCATTCTTTCACAAGGAGTCCTGTTAAATTAGCAATCCAAAAATTCCCAAAGTGTAGATGATATCTCATCCTGAACGTGTTATGCATGACCACATAGGGAAACCCAAATATATGCAAGACCAGGGAGATAGGAAATGTGTGAATTTCTTGACCTTTGTGTAACTGGAACCTGCCTTGAAGTTACATGAAAATAAACTTTTTATATCAACTAGTTGAACTCTGGGGAATGTTCCATCTTCTCTGAAAAAGGCCCCAAGGTACTGTACAAAGTCAGTAGCATTATTCCTGCTTCTTTCCTCTCTCCCAGATCAAGCACTAGCAGAGCTTTTACTACCTCTCCAAAATCATCAGCAAGCTCCTATTCCTCCATGTCTGCTTCTCCCATTACAAATGGTGATAGTGCTAACTCTTCTGGTGTGCACAGCTCCAGTCTCAGCAGGGGGTAAGAGCGGGACTTTTCTCACAGCTTCTTTTTCCTTGGCATCTTTTGCTGACCCTCCCAGCTTTGAATGTCTGCCTACCTGTTTCTGTCCTTGGTATGATAGACTTAGGCTTTGCTAATTCTCCTTTATGGTTTGTTTTTTTTGGGGGGTGGGGCCTTTGGTCCTTCGTTTTAGTCAATTCTGTAACCACTTTAGGTAGCTTCACTCCCCCCCCAACCTGCCTCCTAGTTGTGTTTAACAACATTAACGCACCTATTTTTTCCCTATTCTATAAGTGACTAGTGCTGAGATACTGTTGCAGTTTTATTTTTAGTAATTATGGCCTGTTAAGTAGCTGAAGATCACAGTAATAAACCTTTTTCTTTCATCATAACAACCATGTAATGGCAAGGAAGAGAGAGGAATGTGACTGCCAGTTCAGAAAATCCAGAAGCTGGGGGTGAGGGTGGGGGTGGGGGAGGGGCGAGGCTCAGAGCAGAGTAGAGAGGTTGGGCAGGAATTGGCTGCAAGCTTATCTTGTTGGTGTCCATTATCTAGCCAGGACCTCGTCCTTTTCAAAATTAATATTTACTTTACTCTGCAAGATGAGAAGAATTTAGACCTCTCCATTAAGGGAGAGGCAGTGTGGCCGCATAGTGAATGGAGAACTGGTCTCAAATTGAGTGAAGATGACGCAGGTTTTGATCTCATCCTTGGACACTGGCTTTGTGAATCTGAGCAAGTCACCTTAACCTTTCATTTCTTGAGGCCACCTTTTAATATGGCAAGAGGCAGAGAAGGTGCTATCCTGTATTGTTAGAGGGAATTTCCTCCCTTGGGTGTATCCTGTATGTAGTAAAATGACAGGTCTAGCCCCTATTCAATCCCTCCATTATTCACAGATGAGAAAGATTTAGAATAAAGCATTAATGTGGCCCCTTCCTTGATTATGTGATACTGTTGAATGAGGTTTGATGTACCTAGCTAGATAAATTTAATAGGAGGTGGAATGGAATGAGGAGTAGAACCCTATAATGGGTCATCTGTATGCATTTGTTGTTCAGTATATTCTTCTATTTCTGACGAGTATTTCTGTTTTCTTCCAGAGGTTCTGGCTTCTCCAATTCTTATAGTTGCCGAGAGTCTCAATCTCACACCCAGCCTGGGCTTTGTGGACTTGGAAACCTGGGGAACACCTGCTTCATGAATTCTGCTTTGCAGGTAGAGGTGTAAAGCCTCCTTCTAAAGAATTAACTAGTTGTCAAAGACAACTCGAATTTTCCCAGGAATTTTCAAATTATTGGAAGTTGTGGCAGTTGTGGTGCATAATAACCTGTTACACTTTCCATAGTCTGCTTCTGGTTTTCTGTGTTCTGCAGGTTCCCAAGCTCAAGTTTAAAAGAGCCCTGAATCATTCTTCCACCAGTCTTTCTCTTACTTGTTAGGTGCCAACTGTAGATGCCAAAATATTTTAATATAGGAGGATGTAATTATTCTTTTGGGCACCAGAATTTTTTTCTTAGGTTCATTAACTCATGCACTGAACATTTATTAAGAATCAATGAATGCAGGCTTGGGAAGGGTTAAAAAGACTTAGAAAAGACTAGGTCCCTGTCTTCTTCAAACAATTTTGAACTTTGCTATTTCTAAGGGTTAGACTTTTCCTAAGAATATTGGTATACTTGCCCTGTGGCCTTCACAATTCATTGTGGGGAAGTAGTGGTGGCTTTTAGCAATCTACACCTCTGCTCTGCCCATAAACTTTACTCCTGGGGTAATAACATACAGCAGGCCAATTATTTCAGGAAGCTCTGGCTTAGAATTGCTACCTTTGGAAGTCCTAGAAGCCCTACTGTTTCACAGATGCAGGGAGAAAGTCAAAGGCTGTCAACTCAAAGTGAGCTTTAATAGCCCACTTAATCTTGGATTTCCAAAAGCATGAAGTCTTGCATGAAGAGTTAGATATATTAATGATAGTGGAAGGTTTTTTGTATCCACTGGGTTGATCTAGTGGAATGAATGCTGGACTAAGAGTCAAGGCACCTGGGTCTTGGCTCTTTTGCTAACTGTAGTACACAATAATTGTGACGGGATTAGGTAGGCGTGTTGAGAGCACTTTTAAGAACACTGTGTAATTATAAGACTCTGTCAGCCTTATCAGCACAGTCTGTAGATGCTCATTCTCATTATCCTTTGAACACTTCTAAAGCTTACTTTGGAAAGATGATAATTGACTACTTCAGGATTTGGTTATTCTGAACATGTTATTGGTTAATATACTTGGTTATTCTTTACATCTTTACTTGTTTTAGTAAGGATGTATGTGCCCTGACAAAATTCTCTTTTCAGTGCTTGAGTAACACTGCACCATTGACCGAATACTTTCTAAAAGGTGAATACGAGGCTGAAATCAACCGAGATAATCCTCTGGGCATGAAAGGGGAAATTGCTGAGGCCTATGCTGACCTCATCAAACAGATGTGGTCTGGGAGGAACACGCAGGTGGCCCCACGGATGTTCAAAGTAGGTAGACATTCCCTTATGAGAGTTGCTTAATTTTCTTTCCGTCTATTTTTAAAGTTAAATTTTTTTTTAATGATTAAGCATTTACTTGCTCTCACTCCTTCACTTTTGTGGGGAAAGAAAAACTAGAATCCTTATAACAAATAAATATAGTCAAGCAAGACAAATTCCCATGTTGACTTTGTCTAAAAATGTTTGTCTCATTCTACGTATTTGGCACCGCTCTCAGATGGGTAGCATTCTTCATCATCATTTCTTTGGAATTGCAGTTGATTATTGCATTAATCAGAGTTCTTCAGGATTTCAAAATTGTTTTCAACGGTGCTGCTGTTATAGTATGAATTCTCCTGGTTCTGCTTGCTTGACTGTATCAGTTCATATAAATATTCTCAGTTTTCTCTGAAACCATCCCTTTCATCATTTCATTATATTCATACACCATACATTAGCCATTCTCCAATTGATGGGCACCGCCTTAGTTTCTAGTTCTTTGCCACCAGAAAAAGAACTTCTATAAATATTTTTGTACAGATGGGACCTTTTTCTCTTTCTTGGATCTTATGGTTTATGCCTACTAGTGGTCTCACTGGATCAAAGAGTATGCCCAGTTTATTCACTTTTGTTCACTTTGTTCACAGTTTATTCACTTATAGTTCCTAATTGCTTTCTAGAATGGCTATGCTCATTCACAATTCCACAAGCAGGGCATCAGTGTCCCTGTTTCCTATGGCCCCTCTAACATCTGTTGGGGGTGTGAGATGGAATCAGCATGTTTTCATGTGGAGGCAGGTAGGTAGTATAGCATTGTCTTTTGGTCAGGAAGACCTGACTTAAAATCCAGCCTCAGGCATTTCCTAGCTCTGTGACCCTGGACAAGACATTAACCTCTCTCAGCTTCAGTTTCCTCACCTGTGAGGTGGTATTTGAGAAGTGCTTTGCAACTTAAAATGCTGTATAAACACTAGCTGTTTTTATGGCTATAGACAGGATTTTTTTCCCTTGAAAACTCCCTTTTTATATCTTTTGACTTTATCAGTTGGGGAATGGCCTTATTCTTAATTTAAATTAGTTATTTTTATAACTTGGAAATGAGACCTTGATCAGAGAAAGTTGCTGCAAAGATTTTTTTCCCCAGTGAACTGTTGCCCTTCTAATTTTAGTTGAATTGGGTTTGTGCAGACACTTTAAAATATTATGTTATCAAAATTGTCCATTTTATTTTCTCTTGTACTCTGTATCCCATGCTTGGTCACGAACCCTTTCCCCATCTATGGATATTAAAGGTAATTTCATTGTTCCTTTAATTTGTTTATGGTGTGCTTTTTAATATCTAGGTCATGTGTCCATTTGGACGCATGGGTTTTGGTGTGAAGTATTGCTGAAATTTAATTAGAAATCTAATTTCTACCAGACTGCTGTCTTAGTTTTCCCAGCATTTTTGTCCAATAGGGAATCCTTATCATGGTTTTCTAGCTTTTAAATGAGGCTTTTTTTTTTTTTTTTTTAGTATGAGTTATATTGGGCCTGTGAGTGACACTCCTAAGCTGGCCTTTTAAAGTGTTTTCTTTAGGTTCAGAAAGTGCTCATTTTACAAATCAGTTGTTTAGAAAGTTTTGTGCACTTTGGTTGTTTGGGATTTGTAATAGATTTTACATGGTAGCTAGGTTCTCCAACCAAAAGCTTCTTTGAGCTGAAATAGTATTTTTATCTCTATGTTTTGAGTCCAGAGAGCAATGAAGAGTTATAGTGAAGCCCGGGCTCTATCAATTGGATTGTTCCTTTCTCAGTGTTGGGGTCATTAAATTTGGTCAGTAGGAGGATAGACATAGGTTCCTGCAGCAGTGGTAGGACAGGCCTCGCCAGCAAAGAATGTCATCAGCAGAGCAATCCCCTGCAGATCATCTATAGGATGTTTATAAGTTGTATATTCTTAAATCAAGGACTTCCTTGACTCAAGAAAGAGAAGTGGTATCAGATGTTAGAGAATCAGCCTGCTCTGAGTCCCAAAGTCTGGTAGGGTAGCTAAGGAATAGAGAGGTAGAAAAAAGAAAGTGTGCCAAATTTATGAAATGATTGTGATATAAAAGAAGAGAATTTTGGAACAAGTGGTCTTGAAAAATCAGACTCTTTCAATACATATTAAATTTCTGCTTGTGCAGAACATTGTCATAGGCTATGTGGTGAATACTAAATTTAGATAATTCCAAATGAAAGTACATACTTCAAAATACATATGAAACAAATTGTTTTGAAGTAAAATACATAAAAAGTTCAAGTCTTACAAAAGCAGATAACAGTAGTTAGAGATTTCTACACTGCATTATATCAGAAAATTAAATTCAACAAGAAAATTACAGAGCTGAATAGTGTATTAAACTAAGTCTAACAAAATTTAAAGAGAAAAACATAAGAACTTAATGAGAAAAACAGGCATATTGTTTTCTTTGGAAGTATACATGGAGTGAACACAAAAATTGATCATGTTAAGTCCCAGAGCTATAATATAGAAGAGTAGACATATTCTGTACTACACATATGGATCATAATGGAATAAAGTGAGACATATTTAAGTAAATGGTATAGATCTGACCGTTCTTAACCTGAACTCAGTGAACTTGTTTTTTAAGCATCTTGATAACTTTTTCAGTATAATTGATTTCCTTTGTAATCCTGTATATTTTATCTTATGCATTTAAAAACCTTCTCAGAAGGTCCATAGGTTTCATCAAATTGCCAAAGAGTCCCATGACAGACAAAAAGTCAGAACCTCCTGGTGCAGATCCATGTGGAAAGTAAAAAATAATTTATTAAATAGTGCTTAAGTGAAAGATGAAATAAAACAATAAATTAAAGACAATGGCATTAGATACTACATATAAAAAGCTGAGAGATATTTCCAAAATAATACCGAGGCAATTTGTGGTGCTGAATACTTAATGTTTGTTAGAAAGTAAAAGAAAAACTTAATGAATTTAGCATCTACCTTAAAAGCTTGGAAAAAGAGCAAAGCAGTGTAAGTACCATCAGAAAGTGAGGACTTAGATCAGAGTAGAGATGAATGAAATACAAGCATAAAAAGTAAGAATTGCTGCCTCACCCATGTAACTTTCTGTCTGGTATTTACTGAATTGGAGACCCTACAAATTTTCCCTAAGTAGGTAGCTTTGGGGTCAGGCTTTAAAGAATGAGAAGGAATGAAGGAAACTAGAGAAAAGGGAAGGGAAGATAGACATTTCTGGCATAGTTACCATTGTGTTCTTGTTGAAATTAAAAACCAATGCTGTTGTCTTTCCTGAGCCCCATTGTCCTCTAGGGAATTATTTGTAAATAATGATGTACATATTTATTATCAAAAAGAATTTCAGGGTATAGTTTAAAATAGTCTCAAGATGATTTAAATAAGTACAAGTATGGTAGATGGAAAAGAAATATATCATCAGTATATCTGATGGTATATTGGTATGATATATTTAAAGAAAATAGGATGTTTGGGGATAAATCCCCAACCTTGCCTTCCCACAAATCATTCTTTTGAGACAGTCCTTAATCTGGATCAATTTGACTACATGGCATTTCTGAGAACTTAAGAAACTGATAATTAGAAGAGATAAGACGTTGTCCTCCCTTAACAGCAACATGGGATTTAAAACCAAATATCTTCCCTTGCAACTTAATTGGGATCATTTCGCCCAAAATTTTATTACTAGTTTTATACTTGATGAAGCATTTTGGCATGGTTCCTACTGAATGGGGTCTCCTCTCACTAGCTGCCTATTCTAGCCCTTAGCTTGTTTTGTATATGCAAAATAGAGATTTTGGGCCCTGCCAGAAGCTAATTCTTCTGCCTTTTTCTGTTTTTAATTTCTGTAGCCTGTTTTCTTTTGATGGTGTTATTTGTGTATGTTTCATTTCCTTCATCAAAATATGTTTCCAATACCTCATCATGCCATGAGGATTGCCTGGGCCGAGGAAGGTGGCATAAGCTCTGGCAAGTCTTGAGAGCCTTCTCAGATAAGCCCAGGATTAATTGTGTATCTGTAATCTGAAGACCAATATAGCCAAGCTTAGAGAGCTTGTTATCAGAAAATTGGCTGGCTATTAGATAATGCCTTTTTTGGCCACAGCATCTTGTTAAGTATTGTCTACTAAAGCATAGAAGATATGGTGGAGGGAGCGTTTTCCCTAGTGAAATCACAGCTTTATTTAGCAGTTGAATGACTGGACCCCAAAAATAGTCATTAATAGATTGATGTCATCTTGGAAGGGGAGAAAGAAGGCTGTCCTATAATAGAATGCTCTAATGAGCTTCTTTTGGTAAATACTAGTCAACTTATTTTTAAAAATTATTTATTTTGTTTCTGTTTAGACCCAGGTTGGTCGTTTTGCCCCTCAGTTTTCGGGTTACCAGCAACAAGATTCTCAAGAGTTATTGGCCTTTCTTCTGGATGGATTACATGAGGATCTGAACCGTGTAAAGAAGAAACCATACTTAGAGCTAAAGGATGCCAATGGCCGGCCTGACTTGGTATGATATTTGATGTCAGATTGATGAACTCCATTGATCTGAGAAGAATGGGGCCTCTTGGAGCTGGCAAGCTCTAGCTAGAATAGACAGAGGTTCTTTTTAAACCATTGTTTCCTAGGGATGGTAACAGAACATCAGAATCATGTCTTGTTGGCCACAGCTTATAGCTGTAAGGTTAAGTTACTGTTACTACTATTTCTTTGTTATTAAAATCCAAGTTTAATGGCCAGCTTTGCTATTGAGTTACCTAAATGCTTTAAGCATGGTATTGGTTTTTTAGGCTGTAAAATAGGAAACTGATACTAGCTGCCACTTTACTACTGAGCTGTTCAGGACCACAGAGCTAGAGAATATTGGAGGTAGTATTTGAGTTTGGGGTTTCCTGATGCCTAGACCCTCTGTCATGTAGTTCATTTTTTTTAAAGTTTTTATTTTTATTTTTATTTTTTTAAGTTTTTAAAAATTAATTTATTTTGAATTATCAGCAATCACTTCCATAAGCTTTTGAGTTTTAAATTTTTCTCCCCCTCTCTCTCCACCTCCCTCCCCAAGATGGCACACAATCTGATATAGGCTATACACATACATTCCCATTAAACATATTTTCACATTAGTGATGTTGTAAGAATTAGAACCAATAGGAGGAACCACCAGAAAGAGGAAACAAAACACACATGTAGTTTATTTTCAAAAGAAAGGGAACTGAGTCCCGGAGATGGTCCCTGGGTCTTTGGAGTGGGAAAGGGGAGTGTGGGAATCAGTGATGGCTTATTAAGTCCTGCTAATAAAGACAGGTTCTGTTCCCTGTTTTAGGAACAGACTGTTATTTTGCTTCTGTAGATAGGCTTGTAGTCTGCCTTGGATTGCTGCTTTGGAATCCCATAAATGAAATGTGTGAAGTAGAAACCTTGCTTACCTAGTATTTTTTTCTCTTTTTTTAGGTGGTGGCAAAGGAAGCATGGGAGAATCACAGGTTAAGGAATGATTCTGTGATAGTGGATACTTTCCATGGCCTTTTCAAATCCACATTGGTCTGCCCAGAATGTTCTAAAATTTCTGTGACTTTTGACCCATTCTGTTATTTAACTCTCCCCTTGCCCCTGAAGAAAGATCGAACTATGGAGGTATTTTTGGTTTCTGCAGATCCACAGTGTAGACCTACCCAGGTATGTGATCTGCTTGGTTTTCATTCAGATCTCAGTTTCTAGATCTGAAGTGGTGTTAGTCTCTGGGTTCTTTTAGAATTCCAGGCGCTGGGTATGTGTTTGAAAGAAAGACTATAGATGACCTTTGAGCATAAGTCTTGCTTAAAGCTAGACCTTTATACTGAGCACTTGAAGTTAATATATATTACCTTGAAGTTGCTTAGAAACTTTAATTTTTGAAAATTTTGAATTCCATATATCATATGGAGTATGTCAGACCTGATGCCCAGAGATATTCACTGGGTCTTTGGGATGGGAAAGGGAGATGCTGGAAGCAGTGTATACCTAGTGTAACAGACACACTAGACTTTAGGATTAGACTCCTTTATGATCTCACATTATTGTTTTTGCCTACATACCATGCTGATGGCTAAAATTATCTGAGTGTCCTGTTGAGAGGAATTAGAATTAGAACTTTGGAGAACTAAAGGAAGAGTACTTTTTTACCTCAGTAATAGTGGTAGTGGTAGCAGTGCCTAAGATTCATGTAGTGAATCAGATAATTTAATTAAGATGGGATTAGTTGGTCTTTTAGCAAAGGTCCTGTTCTGCCAGTGACTCGATATGACCTTAAACAAGGTAATCACTTTATTTCAGTCCCTCTGTCTATAAAATGGAGTAACAGTTATTCTTTTAACAGCAAAGTTTAAGCCTCATACTAGGTTTTCAGGGGAAGTAATTAAGATAAGTTCCCTGCACTCATGGAGTTCATTATCCTGCATAGGGAATAGGATGCATATATAAATATGTAGTTAACTTATAATTACTACCAGGTATACTAGGATATAATACTATCACAAGACTTTTATGTAGTTTACTGGAAGGTATGCTTGATTTAAAGTTACAAGGATTCAAATCCCAGTTCTTTTGCTTATATGATCTTGAATAAGTCACTTTTTTCGTTTGTAGTGTAAGTCTTGGACTAAATTACTCCATTGTCCGTTTTAATTCTAAAATTTGATCCTATGATGTTAAGTACAAAGCACTTTGTAACGTTTATGATCAGACAGTGCCTAAAAGTAATGATGAATTTGGAAAGCCTACCAGATTAGGATACAGGGGACCTGGATCAGTTAGTAGTGCTATTAACAAAGTAACCTTAGACAAGCATCTCTCTGGTCCTGTGTTTCTATCTCTATAAATCGAGTAGGTTAGACTTGAAGGTCCTTAAGGTCCTTTAAGGTCCTTAAAACTCTTATTCTGTAAATCAGTAAATCTTAAAGAACTCCCCCTCTCCCTTCGTCACTCTACCCTACAAATATTAAGGACAAAGTAGTTTAACTTTAAATAGACGAGGAAAATGATAATACAATTTCCGAACTGCCTGCCACTCTCGTTATAGAAGAGAGGTGTTGGCTTTGGTCAGATTTGTCTGACTCGTTCTCTTGGTTAATTTTCTAAGGCTGAAGAGGGCAGAGGTAACCTTTGCAGCCTCATGCTCTTATTCTGCCATGAATGGTTTTAGGAAAGATTCTGTAGCTGTACCAGGAAACTACAGTGACACCAGGCCCCTGCAGACCTGTCTCTCCATTTTGACTGCCCTTCATCTGCTTCTTCCCTGAATCTTTTTCTGCTCTTTTTGTCCTTCTTCATAGTATCGAGTGACTGTGCCAATGATGGGGGCTGTGTCTGACCTGTGTGAGGCCCTCTCAAAGCTCTCCGGTATTGCTGCTGAAAACGTAAGAAGTTTTGATAAAATTAAACATAGTATTTAGAGTTAAATTGCTTCTAGATTGCCCCTCACAGGGCTGGATCTTTGATGCCCTTTCCAGATCCTCAGACCTTTGGTGTTCCTTTCCATCAGCAGCATTTGGAGTCACTTTGAGGGGCAATGGTAATGCTCATAAGATGTTGTGAGGAAGCATTAGAAAACCTGTATTGCCTTTTATTCTGAGCTTGCTGCTGATTAAATTTGTCCCTCTAGATTCAGTAGGCCAGCCATACTGTGTTTATTTGAAAGGAAATAGGCTATAATTTCATTTGTGTTCTTCCATGTTTTTAAAAACTGTATTTTTATTAATTTTGGTTAAATGTTTCTCAATTACATTAAAAAAATTTTTTAATATTCGTTTTTTAAAAATTTGAGTTCCAAATTCTCTCCCTCCTCCTGCCCTTTCCCTACCCCTTGAGAATGCAAGCAATATGATATTGATTATACATTGTCACTTCAGTTTCATAAACAAAACCTTTTTCATATAAACATCCAGTTTTCTTTGACTAATGTCACTATCTTGGGCTTAGGGTGACTGGAACTGTGAGGTGGCTCCTGAGGGTTTGTGGTGAAAGAACCTCCAGATGTAGCTGGGAGGGTAAAGTCAACTGGCTTAAGTTCCCATAACCTGGTACCCTGTAAGTGCCACTTCTGGTGGTCAAACTTTGAAAGCATTTTCTTCCTTGGAGCAGTATGGTATAATTAAAAGAACTTGGATTTGGAATTAGAACAAGGGTCACCTTGGACAATTTACTTTGTCTCTTGGGACTTGTTTCCTCATCTATAAAATGAGGGTGTTAACTCCAGCCCAGCCTGCTTTACCCCTGTTAGTGTGGGAATTCAGTGAGATAATGGGTGTGAAAGCGCTTTGTAAGCTGTAATGTTCTTACTGAGAAAAGGGACTATTATTACTTTATGTTTGTTTTAGCTAATGGTAGGCTCTCAAACCTATAATCTTTCTGTGGTTATTGACTCCTAGATGGTGGTCACAGATGTGTATAATCACCGGTTCCACAAAATTTTCCAAATGGATGAAGGTTTAAATCATATTATGACCCGGGATGACATCTTTGTGTGAGTATCCAACTATTTGTAATCTTATGTTACAGAGAACATATGCCAGAAGTTTTGATTGTGGTTGTCCTCATGTTCATTATCAGATTTAATTTGTTGGCATATTTGACGTGATAGTATACCAGTGGGTGTATTTTAGGGGCAGTAATGGACAGCTGTGGATAGATGCCAGGGCACTGCTGGGTGCTGCAGAGCCCAACAGGACAAGGGCTTTGTTAGCATGATGCTTAGAAACTGGAATGTCTTAGGGAACATTTTATGTTCTAAGGTTAGCATTTAACTCTTTTAAGATGGAATATTTAGAATTCACCTACATTTAAATTTTACTGTTTGCTGTCAAGAATATGTTTGACTAGAAGGTTGTGTTGCTATCAATCTGATCAGAGGAAGAGAAATGAAGAAAGATGAAGATGTGAAATCATGGCAGAGTGGAAAGAACATTTAACTGAAAGTCCTGATTTGGCCACAACCTTGCTGTTTTTTCTTACTGTTCTTTCCTAATCTAACAAATTACTAAGTTGTACTCAGTTGATCCCTGAGGTCCCTACTGGTTTTATGTTTCTGTGAATTCTGGTATATCTTCCTTGAGTAAAAAATCCCATTTCCACTACCTCGAAAATTTAGAAAATTCAAAGATTTGAGTAAACTGCTCTTCTGTTTGTCCCCTCCCCCCTTACACATGACTTGTGATGGGATTTATGTACATGTATATATACATATACACATATTAAATGTAATGCTTATTTTTATTTTTACAGTAGATATTAGGGGAAGAGAAAAACAGTGCCAACTCAGTTTGTTGCCCTGCCTTTCTAAATCAGCTACGTATCATAGCTAGGAAAGTTTGAATTGGGGCATAATGATTGCCTTTTTCTCTGAGGGAAAAAAAGAATAGTCATTAACTTGTATGTAGTAAATTGCTTCTGCTTTGAATGTCTTTGCAGGTGAATACACTGAACAGAATATACTCTCCTCTCTTTACAAAAGCATTTTTTAGAGAAAATTTCTGAAACTCCTTCTGTAAAGAAACAGTAATCACTACTATCCAAGATTGAAAATTAATTTCTTGAAACCAGTGTATTGAGTTAAAGGAACTTACAGCTTTGCCTGCATTGTGTGGGTCAGAGCAGATGATCAGGCTGTTGATCAAACAAACTGCTTGAGGAGGGACTTTTTTTTTTTCTCTCAGAGAAGCCTGACAGTTTTGATTTATGAAGATACTGGCTTCTAACACATCCATACATAGTATTTTAATGAATTAACATTTTGTTACTTTTTGCTTAGATTGTAACCAGACCTCTTTGTTATTGGATTTGCTTATTATGTTAGGGTTTTTTATTTTGGGTTTCAGCAATTGAATCAATAAGGTCAGATCTCTCTCTAGAGGAAGAGGGGAAAACTACAAGTAATTATCAATTTTATTTACATTTTATGAAAAAACATTAATAAATCTTACTTCTTTATATCTCACTAAGTCAGATAAATGACAAGTCCAGGACAGTTTTGTAGATTTGTAAATATTGATTTTATTCACTGATTTTTTTAAAAGTACATAATCATGTTACAATTTGGTTTTTAAAATAAAGCAAATAATAATTTGTCCAGTTTGCTTCCTGTTTTGAAGAGTGATCCATAATTAATGTTATAAACCTATTACATAGAAAACAATTTTGGTCAAAGACTGGGACTTCAGTCTTTAAATAGAACTCTAACCTACTGAGAAAATAAGAGGCTTATCAGGCAACTCCTGGCCCCTCTATCTGTTTTACCTTTTCCTTTATGCGTGGAAAAGCTGTATATATGATTGTGTCAGAAGTAAAAGCTGGACAGATAATGATCGTGGAAATCAGGGATCTGCTTTGGCCTTAATGTTTGGAGGCTGCTTCAGAATTTAGTAGACTTTCACCGACAAAAAGTCTTCAAGTTCACTAACCTGACCCCTATAATCTCTTCTTACGGTCTCTTTTTTTGTACCTGCCCTGAATTATAGTAACTGAAGAATGATTTGTTCTTTTTAAATGTATATGTGTATGCATACATGTACATACTTAATATACATATACACCTATACATATGTTCAGCAAAAATCTGCCTTCTCTCCCTCCCATGCCAACTCCCCCCACCAATTGAGAGTAAAAGAAAAACAAAACTTGTTTCAAACATGTATAGTCAAGTAAAACAAAATTCCTTGTTGGCCATGTCCAAAACTATATATGTCTGGTTCTGCTCTCTGGTCATCTCTCTATCAGGAGGTGACTAGCATGTTTCATCATTAGTATGGTCTATTCCAGATAGCCACACTCCTAACCTTCAAATGTATGCTTTTAGGCTCCATATTTTGAATTTATTCTCTCTTATGATCAATACAGATATGAAGTCTGCAATACAACAGATGATGGATCAGAATGTGTGACTTTTCCAGTTTACTTCAGAGAAAGGAAAATCAGGCAGACAAGCACATCTTCTGGGACAGTTCTGTATGGTCAACCATTGTTAATCTCTGTCCCAAAGCACAAATTAACCCTTGACTACTTGTACCAGGTTATCTGTGAGCGTATCAGGTGTGTATTGAACATTCAGATTGTTGTTTTAGTTTGAATTGTGTATTTAAATTCGCATGTAGATCCATTTTATATCCTTTTTCATATATTTTTATATTGCATTTATTTTATTTTATTTTATTTCTGAGAGGGGGAATAGCATCCTGACCAAGTACCTATTGGTATATGGGAGACTAGAGTCTTGGTTCTCTCCTAGTGTACTTTTTAAGTACTGGGAAATCCTTTATCCTTTCTTTTTTAGTTAAATCAATATTAATCATCCACTCTGTGAATACCAATGTGCTTGGATAGGTACAAAGTCTGTACATAAGAGGCAATCCTTGCTTCGTGGAGCTTACACTCTAATAGAGGGATGTGACATACATATAGAAGAACATAGTAATGCCTTAGTCCATTGGAGAGGAGCAAAGAGTGCTATTTGAGGTTCAGAGGTTTGAGAGTATTAGGAAAGGCATTGTGGAAGAGGTGTTATAGAGTTGGTTTATAAAGACTTGACTAGAATTTAGAAGGTAAAGGGAGGTAGGACATTTTAAGAAAAGGTAGGAAAATTGTTTAACCTTATCAGTTCCAGAGACATTGGTCCCACTTCTACATGGCATGGTTACAGCCATGTGTCATGTTTGACAGGACAGGAATTGCAACCCACCCAAGATCTTGAACTTTGAAATGTTATTCTCTGACCCACAACCTTCTGTCTTTCTGCATTTCCCACATAATCCCCTTAAACCAACTCTTATTCTCATTATGGCCTGGTCTTTTCACCCCATACTCTACCATTTTAGTGATTATTTATTCACCACCCTGGAATCTGTGAGATTTGAGACTTTTTATCATTTCTAACCTTACAATCCTCAACCCTGGATTACCACCAGCACCCAAGAGTTTTAAAAAAAAAAAAAAGGACCTATATGTACAAAAATATTTATAGCAGCTCTTTTTGTGGTGGCAAATAATTGAAAATTGAGAGGATATCCCTCATTTGAGGAATGGCTGAACAAGTTGAGGTATATGATTGTGATGGAGTGCTACTCTGCTATAAGAAATGATTAGTGGGTTGGTTTCAGAAAAACATGGCAAGACCTATATGAACCGATGCAAAGTGAAGTGAGAAGAACTAGGAGATCATTGTACACAGTAACAGCAATGTTGTAATGATGATCAAAAGTGAAAGACTTGGCTGTCCTGATCTTTCTCTTTGAGACATTTTCTGTACATTTTAGAAATTCTTCATCACTTGTCATGGGAGGATATATGAATTGCCGATGTTATTGATTATCATATGGAAGGTAGGAAGCCAAGTGACTCAGTTTTCTCAGTGGTCAGTTGTGAATACATTAGAAGTTATTTCTTGGTTTCCTTTTTGCTTCATAACTCAAGGAATTCTTCTGTTGTAGAAGATCACTTTGCCATGTAGAAAACGTTTGCTAAATATCAGGGTAAGCTATAAAGTAGATTATTGTCTATTTCTTAGGATAGTAGCTGATGAAATCATCCATGATTGCTTCATTATACTGATTAAAGGACTCCTCTGGGTACTTGGAAATCATCTGATTGAAGAGATTTCTAGGTTGTGATCTTTTTGGAGGGCTTGGGGGAAAATGGTAGCATAGTTAAAAATTTAGTCTTTCTCCCTGTAGCTGTTTATATAAAAGTTGTGGAATTAGGTTATTAGAAAGTGACTAAGCTTTTTTTCCCCCAAAATGTAAGACTGCAGACTACTTCTTCTTCGTCGTCTTCTTCTATTTGGGGTTAAGTGACTTGCCCAGAGTCACACAGTTAATGAGTATGTCGGAGGCTGGATTTGAACTCAGGTCCTCATGAAGACTATAGACTTCTTAATGAGACCATACATGTTCCTCAAGTCTCCATATCATATGGACACGAACATTTCAAAGTCATTTACCTGAACTAATCTCGTAATTATTCTTCCTTCCTCTATTTTCTCTTCTCTTCGCCCATTCATCCAATTAATCTATGTATTACATGCTGCAAGACTAATGTTCTTTTTATATACAATCTGGACAAATCATTTTGATGATTTAAAAATTTTCATTCATTCCCTGTTGCCTAAGTAACCCCCTTGGCCTGTTGTTTAAGGTTTCCATAATCTGGTTCCCCTTAACCTGTTTTTACAATATTGCAAAGTATTTCATCTGGAGTCTTCAAGTATTTTAATAACTAACACGTCTCCTCCAGTAAAATTGGATAAAGATACCATTTAGGAGAGTTTCAAGTTAGGCCAGATGTTCTGGGGAAATGCTTTCACTTGGCTGCCAGAGGACCTTTAACATGTTTGTCCCTTAGAAACCATGTTCTTGGTTAAGAAAATAATTTGACTTGTCCTGGTTCATACTCACTACTGAGCAGAGGCATAAGGCTACAGTGGTATACATGAAATGGCTGATAATCAAGCCAGTTATAAAATTGTATGCATTTAGGTATAGACATATACCACAAATGTGACAACTAACTGCCATTTTTTTTTTTAGCCGCTACATAAAACATCCTTTACCAGATGATTCTTCTAGACCACACCTTGACAATGCTACCTGCAATGGTTCCAATGGCATTTGTGAAGGTAAGTACTCATTAAATTTGGTTGGCTGAATCCAGATACCTGTCTTTTCAATCTACGGTTTTTTTTTTTGAAAGCTTAATTTTAATTGATTTTTTAAAATTTTACATCACCTTAATTTGTTTTTATATACATACATATATATATATATATGCTCTCTCCTCTACAACAAGCCACCTCTTTTAACAAGGGAAAAAATGGGTAAAATAGTTAAGTGAAACTAGGTAATAGATCAACTGAGTCTGACAGTCTTGGAGTAAGTCTGTCATTTCTATTCTATTACTGTAACTAATTAGAGGTGGAGGGTTGGAGCTGGGAAAAGTAATTAGATTTTGCTAGAGTTGACCTACCAACACTTAATCATTTTTTGTGTTCTGTGATCTACTTGGGAATGGCAACTTTTTTTAAAAATTATTTTTAATTAATTAATTAATTAATTTTTCCAACTTGTTCTTGTTTTTTGTTTTAAGTCTTGTAAGTCTGGAACTTCGTTTCAGTTCATCAGACATTACTAAATGCGTGTTACATACAGAACATTTTATTAGGTATTGGATATATTTTTCAGACTTTAGACAAGATATGGTTCGATCCGTCATGGAGCTTACAGTTTAGTAGAGAGATCAGATGAAATTCCAGGTAACTGTAACACACAGTAATATAAGTGCAGTAGAAAGATGTAAAACAACATGCTATGTTCTGTTTGAGGGTAGAAGGTCATCAGTTGGGATCAAGGAAGACTTGGAGAAGAATCATTTGACTCATGTTTTATTGTATGGAAAAGATGTCAACAGGTTGATATGGGGAGAGAAGTCATAGGGGAACAAAAGCATGACTAAAGGTACAGAGATGCTAGAATATAGGTTTAATGGATAAGAAGAATCTGGTATGACCAAAGCATGAGGTGAATGGAAAAAATTGTTACTAGAAAAGGCTAGGGAGGTGCCAATGATTAGTTCAGGGCCTTATGTATTAAAATTGTTTAATAAGTATTTCAAATGATGAATGACTATCAACTCCATTATAATAGCTATTGGGCTCTTGTAGTAAGATCTGGTATATATTTGGGGAAAAATCTAAATCTCACTTACAGGGGTAGAGACAAATAAAATGAGCAGTTAGCCAAAACAATCATTACATAGTGTACTGGAAAGCAATACCTTGAATCTAAGTTGTTTAGCCTCAAGCCTGTTTCTTAATCTGTGAAATGAGATAATACTTACACTACTTTGTGTGACCTTTCACTGCTCATCATATCTGTCTTAAAATATAGAGTTTTATGGGTTCTAAATGATCAAGGTAACTGTTGTTAGGTAAGATTTTTGCACTCAAATAATAACATGGAAAACATGCTTATTATTTAATCAATCAGTAAGCATTTATTAAGTGCCCACTATGTTGTGTGCCAGGTTCTAAGGATAAAAATTCAAGAGGAAGAAATTCACATCCATGATTTCATGGGGTGTGTGTGTGTATGTGTGTGTGAGAGAGAGAGAGAGAGAGAAGGAAATATAAGATAAATCATGAGTGTAAATTGATATGGAAATGGTCACTAAAGGCTGAAGGAAAGGCCTTTTGAGTTACCACTTGATTCAGCCTTGAAGGAAATTATGAATCTCAGAAGGTGGAGGTGAGGAGGCAGCAAAAGATTCCTGGCGTGGGGGTCAGTTTGTACACATTTACAACCTAGAGTATGTTAGAAGTATCAATTCTAAGCTTATTAAAGGTATTTTGTAAATATCTTCTTTCAGTTGTGGAATTCTACTTAAGGCATCTAAATATTTGCTGATTTTACTAGAAAATGTTTTTACTATAAGGTATTTAAAATTAGCTAAGTTAACTCTAAGACTGGTGAGCAAAATTATTTCAGTTAACTTTTGAGCAGTAGCTTGGGAATGAGATAGACTTTTTTTTTTTAAATGTTATTTTATTTTTTCCAATTATAGGTAAAGACAGTTTTTAGCATTCGTTTTTACGAGATTTTGAGTTCTAAAATTTTCTCCTTCCCTCCCTCCCTTCCTTTCTTCCTAACATGGTAAGCAATTTGATATAGCTTATATATTTGCAATTATGTGAAACATATTTCCATATTAGTCACAGCTGTGGAAGAAAAAAACAGACCTAAAGGAAAAAAAAACACAAAAAAATTAAGTTAAGTGAAAATAGTATGCTCTGATCTGCTTTCAAAGTCTATCAGTTCTTTATCTGGATGAACATAGACTTCTAATTATAAAAGGTTTTAGATGTGGGGCCTGTGTAAAAGGGTCTCAGCATCATGGGGACACTGCAGTACAAGTGGAGCTCCCAAGACCAGGTCACAAACCTTTTCAACTGAAGGGGCGATGGTAGCTGCAGCTTTTAGGTGAGGAGGAAATAAGCTTAGAGACTTGGCTACTAAGGTGACTCAAATCAGTGACTAATAGAACTAAAAAATAAGTCTAAGTGAAATTTACTTTTTAGTGTAATCAGATGTGTAAATTTTCCCATTCTAACTGGGTATGGAACTAGTTCCTCGAATTTTGAAGGTTGGCACGTCGCCCCAGTACTATTTCTCAGGCTTAAGCATTTTAGAATCTTACGTTGTTTCACCAGCAGGGCTGATAAGATCTTATAGCTGTGCCCAAGAAGCAAGTCTCAACCTAAGAGATCTTTGAAACTATTAATATGATTCCAATGACATTTTTTTGGGGGGGAGGGCTAGGCAATGAGGTTAAGTGACTTGCCCAGGGTCACACAGGTAGCTGCCCCTTTTTTTCTTTTTTTTTCTTTTTTTTCTTTTTTTCTTTTTTCCAATGACATTTTTAACAGCTTTCAAAGAATAGTTGAATTTATAACCCAACAGTACCTGAATTAGAAGAGAACTTATTTTTCTAAACAGTGATGATGTTATCAAGTTTTACAATATAAGAATGCATTTAAAACATGAAAGAAACTTACTACCAATCAGGTTGCATCAATTTAGCCAGATACCTTTTCAAGAAACTCATTCAAGTAAATAAAGTATATTATGTATTAGTTCTTGGACAGATTTTGACCAAATCAGATCTGGATTTATAATAACTAGTAGTAACATTTGAATCTCAGTTTTCCCAAGGTCCATTAGCTGGCAGTACCTCACATTTCAAAGCCCATTGCTTTTGATTAGCTTATATTAAAAAATTCGTGGGGTAATTATTTCTATTTTATATAGTCATGGTACCCCTGAACTGCATCATACAAAGTTTCCTCATATGATTGTTTTCAACTATTTTTCAGCTGGCTTACTTGGAGTTACTTCAAATAAGCAGCTATTTCTAAACTTCACATTGTTGCAGTCCAGGAAAGTGTAAAATATATTATAGCATTAAAATAAAAATTTTACCAAATGATGTGATGCCTGGTTAAATCTCAAATTGTTGTCCAAAGCAATTTAAGTTTTAGTCCTAAATGTAAAGTACAGGTACATGATCATCATTGAATTAATTTTAGAAAACTAGGAGTCCAGAAAAGTGTAAAACTTCATTGGAGAAACTGAGATAAGCATTTAGCTTGACTTGTGGTTTTTGCTGATATTTATATAGCAATCTGAATGATAACTGTAACAGTTGCCATTAACATGAAACATGAAATGTTTATCTAAACATTGTATATAATGATCCCTTACAACTCATATCTTATCCCTTTTACAGTTTAGGATACAGATACAGATAGAGGGCAAATACATCTCATTGTAGCTGAGGTCACATAATTTATAAACTCCATCAAACTAATGAAAATGTCTAAGACCTATATTACTAAAATACCCGGTTTTAATTATCTATCTTTCAAAAGGGGTGATTAAAGACACTTAATTATTCTTAACTACTTTAATGTTATTTTAACACATTGCCCATATTTTAGATTCCTATAAAATAATAATTGTATGTTTCAATATAAGCTATTCTCAGTGTTGTAAAGTACTGTTTATAGCTAGGTGTGTATAACTTCTGTAATGAAGTCTTCTGACTTATATAGGTACCTCTTTTAAATTCAGACTACAGTTTACTTTAAAAGAGAACTCCAATTTAATCTAGTTTGGGTATATATTTCCAAATGGAAGCATTTTAAATGCTGTGGATTTTACATATACTGAGAATACCTGATAGATGACTCAAAACTAAAGAAAAATGCTGACTGTGGCAAACTTTTAATTTGTATCTTCCATTCAACCTGTTTTATTTAACACTTTTAATGATTTTCAGAAGTGATGATCAAATAATGCTTGACAGCAATTAAATCTTATTCAGTCACCCCTCTATACAGCTAAGTGAGAACCATAGAATTTGGCTTGCTAAGTTAGCAGACAATGAGATTTTACTCCACTGTACTGAAGTAGATAATTATCTGTTTTGAAACATATTCAATTGAATATCTGACAGACATTCTGGATAACAGTATTCCAGATAACAAATAACAATTTTACATTATGTGATTAACAATAAAACAATGGCATCACCAGCTTCTACCCTATTAAATGTCTTTTTTTTTTTTTTAATGAGGCACTTGGGGTAAAGTGACTTGTCCAGGGTCACACAGCTAGTAAGTGTCAAGTGTTTGGTCTGAGGTCAGATTTGAACTCAGGTCCTCCTAACTTCAGGGCCGGTGCTGTATCCATTGCACCACCTAGCTGCCCCCAACCATTAGCTTTTGACACTATATAGTGATCACATACAAGGCCAGTATAGAGCATTCTTGATTCAGTTCTATTTTACACAGAAGTCCAGTGATGTAATTCCTATATACACTGTCCTGATGTCAAATACTGGGTGACAACATAAAAAGCATTTCTCGTGCCACCCTGGACGGTGCTTACAAAAATACTTCTTAGCAAAAACAAAAAAAAAAAAATCAAACCATATCTCTCTGTCTCTCTCTGTCTCTCTCTCTCTCTCCATATAGATATATATATATATATTTATATACACACACATACACTTCTTAGCACTATCATAAAGTCCAGCATAAAATAAATTAGGAGACTTACTGTC